TGTTAATCAGAAACCACTGATTTGGTACGTTCAGCTTTTAAAGAATCGAACAATCCAAGATTATTCATCGTTATCCTTTCCAGCATTTTTCATGGTTTGTTTAATGTACAAAAAGTAAATCAGTATTGTGGACGAAACTAGCGAGAATAAAATTGTCTAATCTTAAAAATCGATTGAGAATATGTTATGGGCAGAGCAACTCAATGCCTTTTGCCACTTATGCTGGATTAATTGCAATCTTTTAGGTTCTTGAATAAGCGCTTTCAGGAGGTAAGATCCACTAAATCGAAGGTTTTTTATAACAGAAAGGCTCTAGGACTTCCATCAGCACAGCACCTCTTAGTCTAAGAAGTATCTAGCCAAGTTCTTCCGTAGATCCATGACGAAAAGTTCTCGCCCATCTTCAAGCAGATTAGCTTGATACGCGATTTGAGAATTTTTCCCGTTTTTCCTGAATCACTTGATGAATAAAATTCGTCGAACATACTAAAACATCTAGGAGCAAGGCTGGTTAGGCAGCAAAATTTCGATCATCCTTTAGCAACTTTTAAAGGAGCCAAGGAGGATCTAAAATGGAAAACACTTTAGGTCTTCCACCAGTGCAGTAATTCTTTCTCCTGCACAATCAAAGAGAAAAGTACATCTTTGATATTCCTTGATTTTTTCTTTGGTTACGTTGATTATAGAATTATGTCAATTCTTTCTGACGTTTTTGTTTTTCATCACGAGAAATATCTCGTAGATCTTTGAGCGGGATATTCGTTGTTGAAACTTTCTTTTCCATTGGGGCCAGTGTGCAGGTTCGTCGAAGATACCACGAAAATGACAGAAAACTTTCTATGGCAAGGCTGGCTAGAAAAGTGACGCTCAATCAATAGCGACAAGACGTTATGCTGTGTGCCGGATCTCGCCACTTCGCCAATTAGCGATGGTGTCACCAAAAAAGAACATCTACTTTACCGCTGTTCTTTCCTTCCCCTCTCTTGCCAGCTTCTAAAGGCTCCGTGCCTCCGAGGAACACTGTACAATCAGTAGCGCAGATAGAATATTCATAGACAAGTTCAAATTGAGGTGTGATCTTCTTCACGCGAATAATCACTTCGTGGGTAGCAAAGGTGACGTCGTGTACTACTGCTGCCACCGAGTAGCTGAGAGCACCGTAGAAGCAAATCTGCTGTAAACTATTGGTGTTCAAAAAGTCGTTAGAAATTTTTCCAAAACCCATAATTTCATTATGGATATGTTCTAACAATGAACAGAATCTTTTAAAGATCAAGCTGATAGGTCATGAAGTCTCACTAGTTACAGTAAGTCAATGTCAGTTCCCAGAAGCAATTGCTGACGATAATCTACTAAAAATGGCGAGGGATCTAACGCAATGACGGCAACGAGTACTATTAATGTCGCGTTCGCGGAAGAGTGTATTCAACGGCTGTTCAATGCTTTTGAAGCAAGAACAA